TGCCACCCTCCAATTCCTTTCCTGCACATTTGGGGTGGCTCTGATTTGGGCTACAGATGTAGCAGCAATAGGCATGGAAAGGAGGAGATGGGTGATGCATTTAGAGACGCTTGGGGGCAGATAATAGGGAAATCTTTCCAGTAAGTCAGGATAGTTTAGCAGGAGAACAGATTGCCTGGAAGATACAGCATCTCTGCCAGTGGCTGTTTTTAAGACAGAACAGACATCTATGGCTGAGAGCACGTCCTGGGCGGCCTCTCATGCTCCCTTCATACCCAGAGCTGTTCTCGGTGTCCTGATCTTTAGAGGAAGAAAAAGTAGCATGGGACGAAATTTTCACTTTCAGGTCTCTCAAGATGGTCCATAACAGGCCTTGCAGCAGAGCAGGGAGAAGGGAAGGCGGGGCAAGAACTCCAGCTAGCTATTGCCAGCTCCTTCACTGGAAGTTTGTGTGATGGCAGCCTGTCCCTTAAACTTAAAGCTGAACATGTCCCCCCACTTTCCACTGAAATGCCTTTCTGCAAGCTTGTGTTACACTTGGAGCCATTTAATATGAAATATATATTTAATAACATGGTAGCACAAAGAGGCACCAAATAGGACAAACATAAAAAAGAGCTGGCAGTAGCCTCCGCAATATTGTGTCCACTGGGTCCCTTCTTCACAAAATCCCAGCCCAGCTTTCATTTGCCTTTGATTTACTTAGTACAAACCTCTTGAGACAGTCTCCAGTGGATTTGTACCCGCCATGATCATGGTGCTGAACTCCAAGGGGCGTGTTCATCCCTCTCCAGCGTCTGACCACGGCTGACATCCAAACCCAGCAGCACACACGACTGTGACTCCAGCCTCTGCAGGCTCATTGACATGCAACAGAGCCCCCAGATCCCATATGGAGCGTGGCTGCAGATGGATGGACATATGTGGATCCGTGTGCATCTCCGCTGATGGAAACGTCCCAGCGCAGCCGTAACGCTCGAGTGTGTGGTTTGCATTTGGGGCAAGAGAGAATTTTTCTCCCATTAAACAAATAAAACACGTTCCGAGCAACTTGGGATAAAGCCATTCTAATCCTTTTATCCTTTCCAAAGGAAAATGATTCCATATTCAGGGCACTGTGCAAACAATTAATTAGCCTAACGAAAATGAAAGGCCTAATTGCTCAGTATTATTACGCTCATTGGCATCCAGGCGTGACCAAAGAATAGGCATTGTCTTACCAGGGATAAAGCACAACTTTCCAGCTTTTGGAGCTTTTTTGATATTTGAACATCTAGCAGAACAATTTTTTTTTGAATGATGGTGTAATTCTCACTTCCACATGCAGAAAAGCTGGCAGTATTTGGAGACATCCGAATGAGCCGCTATACAATAAAAGAAGAGAAGAGGAGAGAGACCCAGCTGGTGTGAAATGACCTGGCTCAGTGAAAAGTCGATAAAGCTGTAACTTGCCTGAGTTGAATGACACCGTGGTGTCTTCACTGTGTCTCCAGCTGGAGACTTGATGCACAAAAGTGCTGCAACATTAAGGAAAAATGTATTTTTTTAAGGAGCGCACCTAAAATTAAAGTACAATCATCCTTAATGCAGCTCCCTTTTCAGTGATCTGTTGTTACCAGATGGAAAAGTGCTTTAAATGGATGCAGATGAATTTGTTCACTGTGGATAGGATCATGAGGGGTCAGGTTACAGGAGCTTTAAAAAACTGAACCTTTATCATTCATGCATCTCTCATAACAAGGAGACAGAAAGCAGATGCTGACTGAATATTGACCTAGCCTGAGGAGTATGGGCCCAATAATTCTTCCTTTAAGCAGCTGATTCCCATGGGAAAATCCCCAAGATTCAGCTTTAATTACATTACCTCCCTTGTGCAGAGACTGGCAACCAGAAACTATTCTTTAAAAACAATGTGGGTGAAATCTGCTCTCATTCACACCTGCACACCCCCACTGACTGCTACAGAGGGTTTCTCTGCAACCCAGAGCAAGCTGGATTTTTGGTGTTCGGGGTGGGGGAATGCAGTTTAAACTTAACCAAGGGCACTTTGTGTTTCAGGCTGGGACTGAGCTGCAGAACATGCCCACACAGAAGGCACCCATTATCATGCAGTATCAGATGCTCATGTTGGAAATACGGCTTCCCAGTGTAACCAGTGGTGATGGGTGAGCCTTGGGATCATCCCCTGGCAGAGTTTAATACTCTGAATCGATTGCAAAGGGATCAGGAACGCAAGCCTGACCACCAAAATGCAGTGGGATGCCCCCTCCCATGTGAAAAAGGTAAGAACAGACAATAAAGGTTTGTGGCTGAAAGTCACTGCACTTCACAGCGTGAAATCAAGAACACACAGAGCTTCCTGAAATCATTTCATGTCTAAACTGTTCATTTATGCAGCTGGGAACAATTATTACAGGTGTTGTTGGGGACTTGAGACATAAAAAATGACAGACACAAAGATGTCGTGGCAGGAATGGTCCATCAGATGACTGAATATCCCAGCAACCTTTGTCAGGGATGACTAACAAACATTCTGCTGAGCTCAATACAGCTGCTACTTAGCCTTGGAGAGACAGGCACTCCTCACTTGTAAAACAGAAAATTCCACCCAAAGAAGGTTTTTCTTTTTAATTTATTTTGAAAATCTACCAATTCATTTTATGAAAGTATGAAACCCTACATGGTTACATTAAACAGTTACGTTACAATCCAGGTAATACAAATAATCACTACACAGTTAGTTTTAGGTACTCTTAGATAACAAGTAGATTTTATGTTATTTAAAATAAAAGTAAGTCACAAAGAAGAGAAAAAAATAGCCTTGTGATTGTCAAAGACTTTAGTTTAAAGCAAGGAAACCACAGCAGACTCTCCTTGTCCTACAAAAAGTTAAGAGAGAAACACTTTCAACGTTAATGTTCAGTTAGATTCATCAAAGAAATTTAAGTGCACATATCTACTCTCAGGATAACAAGAATAGTTCACAAGTTCTTTGGAAACCAGTGTCAAATGTCATTCTCTGGAAATCACTTTTACTGTATAACATCACCACTGTCCTTGCTTCAGATGCATAAAAATCCTGTAAAATACACCAGAGCTCCAAATCTGCTCTAATTGAATTCAGTGGGAGTAGGATCAGTTCCTACATGCAGTAAGTACTCCTGATATACTGAAATCCTTACAAAACCTCTTTCCCAGGAATGAAATTAATTTAATGAGCAAAATACTGTAATAACTGAGGAAAACTCTTTGCTTTGCTATCCAGCAATTGACACTGCAACTGCATTTCTGAGGACCTTTATGCACCTTTATTCCTCTCCATCAGCAACAGGGCACACAAAGACACCAGGTAACTGTGCTTAGTAAGAACTTGAAGCTATGTAAAGTATAAAAATCAAAGAACGGATCAAATTAATCTGGAAACTGCTCTCCTGACACCCATCTGACACACCTCCAGTGTCATTCAGCTGCCACTTCTGATGAGACATCTGTCAGTCATAACTGCTTCTTAGGAAGCAGTTAAACGGACCCCAGATTTTGTACTGGCATTTCTCATTGTGTGTGAGTAGTTTGGGGCTAAATATGCAACGTGCCACTGCTGCATATCATGCACCAGTTTCACAGAAGCAAGGAGAGCTACTTATGGGAAATAAGGCAGGTGCAGGTACAAACCTGATGGCCTGTGGCACAAAGGAGACTGAAACAAGTAATTCTCTTGTAGCCTTCACGTCTTTTGAGTAGGACATCTGAGAGGGTGCAAACCCCCAAATCTCCACCCACTACTCGTTGTAGTACAGAAGTGAAGCCAGTAGAATCTTAGCAGGGCTTCTGAGAGAACTAGGTATTTATCCACAGAGTATTTTTTAACACTGATCACCTCGAAGAACTTAAAGAAACCAGACAGGTTACACAAAACTATACAAACTTTTCACCTGGACATAAAGTGCCATCGAACTATGGAAGCAAAAAAGAAGTTACTGTTGAGGGCAGTAGCTACTCTAAGTGTCTACAGAAGGCTTTATTCCCCTGAAGCAGATAAAGTTTGCTACAATATGGGAAATGGCACCAAGCTGGTGGGAATGCTACTATAACCAAAGCTACCAATTTCCTTCCTTCCTGACAAACACCACTCTTACCCGACAGGCTGAAGGCAACTAGGGTGCATTTACTGGTGGCTGACTGCAGGACTTTCCCCAGAAGGTAGTTTAAAATGGGAACAGATGCTGTCATTTCCCCCTCTCTGATATGATATGATATGATAACCATAATTTGTTCAGAGCATGAATTACCACAGATGGCCCCACCCTGCTATTACCACTCTGCCTGCTTGTTTTCTACCTCTACTCATGTAAATCTAATGTCAAATCCTCTTAAGAATCCTGAGCAGCCGTCCAGAATCACTTGTTCAACTGACATTTCTGTAATAATAAGGAAAGAAAAAAGAGTTGTGGGAAATTAAATGGTGCTCCTGTTGCCAAGTTGTTAAAATTATATGGCAATACGCTTCCAGTAGTTGTAAGAAATTAATTTGTGGAGTGCTTACAAGCTTTACATCTACTAAATCTCAACAGGATAGAAAATGCTATTTAAGTGATGCAACTTACAAATGTTAAGGAGGAAAAAAAAACAGCACCAAAGAGTGAAAAAAGAAACTAGATTCTTGTGTGCACTCTGATTCCTGGAGGCTGGATCTCTACAGCTGAGGAAGCCACGTGGGAGATCCTCGGTGAAGTACTTGTGTGTGCACGTATGTCAGCACCGGCACCTCTCCCTTCTGCCACCCTCTTCAGTGGATAAGGCTGGGCTACACCCTGTAAACTCCACACCTGTAAACAGGGGCTGGCAAACAGCTCAGCCAGTCCCTCCACCAGCCCCTCTCTCTGCCACTGCCTTCTGACAGTACTAGCCAGAGCAGAGCAAGTGTCACTACTTTTTACCTGCTTTATGATAATGCTCAGAAATTAAAATGCTCAGAAAGAAGTGCCTGAGACACCTGTCTGTAGATGAATTTATTTAATAGTTATGCCACTATGTGATTACTGTCATTCATTTCTCACAACAATGTCAAATACAATATAAAACTTTGGATTTTTCTGGAGTGAGTGAAATCAGCAAAGTCAAAAGCCAGGCAGTGCTGGCAGTGCTGTTACTGCTCCATTCTGTGGGACAGAACCAGGGTAAGGCGCTTTGGCATCAGCACCGAGTTTAAGCAACAAGCTTCTAGAGTATGTACAAGTTTCCTGCAGATGCATGGAAAACTGAGACCCCCTGGTTGTTCTCTAAGCTGCTTTGAAACTACAGCAATTTGTTTAATCCAGCAGCAGATCCTGGTACTTTTCCTAAGTACAGTACATTTTGATAGCAACATAGAAGCACGCGACACAAAACAGATTTGTTCAAGCTCACCATGGTTCTGATGGGCTGCACGCACCAAGAGGCAACTCAAAAAGAGCACACAACTCAAATCACCAGGACAACACTGACTCAAAGGAATTTCGGCTCAACTTTGCGAAGAAAGAAAGAATTCACAAAGGAAAAGACCATATTGCAAGTTGTACTGCTCAGCTTGGCCAGTTCTAACACAGATCAGAAGTATCAGAAGCTACCAAGGAGCCAAGGACAAAGAATTCCTGTTTTGCAGGAACTGTTTTAAGTATAGCAAGCCTGCTTTAAAAAGAAAAGCCCCCGCACAACATTCCAAGTGGCCTCTTGTAACAGACTGAAATTGTTAGATCAACACTGACAGGAAATACAGATTTCAGAACCAGCTCTGGCACCTTGCAATTTGGAAAACTGTTGTGCATGTGGCACTGAGGCAGCTTGTTTGCAGACCCCTTTCTCACAGTATCCTTGGGTCACCTCAGCTTCCTTCACCCCTTGGATTGCTGGACTCAGCAGGTGCCTTCCTCAGAAGGCACAAACTGGCAGCTGTCGTGGGAAACAGTGTCGATGCTCTGCACCTCGGACTGCGGGTGGATGGACACCTGCACGGCGATCTCCTGGCCCTGCTCGTTCATGGAACCATCGTCGGAATCCCCGGCTGGGGACTCGCTGCGCTTCATCTCCGGGTTGACGGGGAATATCGCAGCCTGGGCACCGCAGCCTTGGGACTCTTTGTCCTCCTTGCCGACTTCATCAGGATCGTCAACTCGCACGGCCTCGAAGATCTCCTCCATGAACGCCCTGCAGTTAAGGATCAGAGGTGGGAGGGGAATGCTTCTGGCAAGCTCTTCGATGTACCGAGCAAACTCCATGGTCTTAAACTGAGTAACTTTGGCCAGCTCCAGTGTTTTGGCAGATGTAATGATAGGGATACGCTTGGCTATTTCAAAAGCCTTCTGAAGCTTCTCAGCCCCTTCTGTCCTGAAGAACTCATTGATCGCCTTCTCTGTCTTGCGGAGGTGGCTGCTCATCATGCACAGACGGGTTATGTTCAAAATGAGGGTGATGGCAAAGGCAACGAGGCACACAATCATGTAGTAGATACTCATGTCTCCTGAGGTGAAGATAACCCTCAGAGTGACTGTGTAATACAAGGTCTCCTTATGGTTAATGCCTGCACACGTGTATCGGCCCCGGTCAGCAAAGCTGACCCTTGTGATGTTAAGGGAATTATCAGCAATCCTCCACCGGTCACCTGGAGATTGGAAAGAAATAAACCAAGCTGATGAAACCAAAATCACTGGGTAAACTATACATGTGCTGTTTGCTTCATCAACAGGAGTCAAAGCTTGGCAGTTAAGCAGCCCTTTTCTAGCATAACACTAACAGTACACCAAGGACTGCAATGTCCTTTTCATGCCTGTGATACAGAAAGCCATAACCCATTTACTAATCCTACTGCTTAATGGTAAATTATACTGCATGCTCGCTACACTGGATTTACTTCCTTCTCTCATCTGCACTCTCTAGTGTGCTTCTGGACTGCCAGCTCGTACTGACAGGGAATCCAGTTCTTAACTTGGGCTTCTTTTAAAAGACTGTCCTCCATAAAGTCTAATTTTCCATACATTCAGAATCAAAAGTCAACCGACCCATGAAAAAGATCAGTCTGTAAATGGCTCTGCTGGCAAAAGAACCCAGGATTTTCTTGAGACATGGTTTTCTGCTGAGCATGCAGTGCTGACACACAAAACCCAAGTAAAAAGAAATCAATACGAGAAGCTTTATACAGCATTTGCTGTGCGTTTATAACTTAGGGGGAAAACTGTTTTCATAACTCATTCTTCTAATTACTCTACTTTGAACTATTTTCATAACTTATTCTTCTAATTACTCTACTTTGAACTAATCTCCAGATGGCATTATAACTACAAAAAGGTTACCGAATATTTAAGGCAGAAAGATGGCCTCCAACAAGTCCTATCAATTAGTTTGATGATCTTCATTAATACTAATAGAGAAAAACACATGCATCTCTAAAACACTTTTTTTAAATTAACAACTACAGGGACAGAACTCTAAGAGCCAATAGCTCAAAAAATATAGTCTCCCTCGGTACAAAAGGGTTAAATAGCATGTATTGCATTGTTGGCCATTACATGTTGTGTTACTTTCCACAGTCTCACTGGTGGTTAAACCAGAAAATAAATGTACTAAGTTACCATGCTTTAAAATATCCTGTAATGAAATTAAAGCACTGATTGCCAGCTGGAAAAGGTCACGAGTTGTGGACAACTGTATTTAATTCATGTGTTTGGAAAAATATAATCTAAACCAGAGCAATAATAAACAAAAACATCAGTTAGTGTCTGGTAAAATGCAAACTCATTTCTTCTGTATTGAATGATTCTGTGGGGCACCAAAGCAGGATGGATGGACTGGGACAGAAGAACTCAGGTATAATTCACAAGTAAAGAGTTTTGTCTTGCTTTCTCCTTATCGCCCAACTGTAAAAATGGGAGGATAGGAAGAGAAAAGTATAATAAAGCCCCAGAGGTTTTCAGATACTGTATAAAAGGGGAATATTGAAGGACAGAAAACAGCAGGAAAACTCACCATCTTGCTGTTCAAGCAGGTGTCCCCTGGAGTTATACCAAAGGATATATTCATACTGGCTGATGTTTAGTTTACATTCAATTAAAATACTGGTCCCCTCTTTGGCTATGATATCATGGTGTGCTGGAGAACTTATTAAAGCTTGAGACACTGCATGAAGTGATGCATTGAAAGACCCAAAAGCAACTGTCCTGTTAAAAGCTACATTTTCCACTGTGAATCCAACTGAAAGATCAGCACTAACAGTCAAAATTAACAGGCAATAGCTGAGCTTCATGGAAAGCTAGTGAAAATTCTTTTTTCATTTAATTTGGAGAAACGAGGTCATATGATATTAAGCTGTCTGTATTGCTCTGAGATAGGAGAGGAGGCTCTTGATTTGTTCTGTGATGGAAAAAGGTCTGGAATCCAAATGCACTTTCAAGACCATCAATATTTGAAGTGGAAACTGGAAGTCCAACTGAAAGGAAAAAAAGCAGTAAGTTTATTAATGACAGCAAGGTTACAGCATATTCAAATTTCATTTCCAGTAAACAGATTTCGATTAGCATAATACAAACTGTCAGCTGAGAGGTTCCAAATCAGAGCTTTGCTCAGAACATAGTAATGAAACCAGGGTAAGAAGGCATTAGCCCAACCTCCAGTCCACTAGATGTTCATCTTCCCAACCAAATAAATAATCTCAGGAACAATAATCATTAAGGGGGAAAAGGTTTTAAAAAAAGAACAAATTGTTCAGACTGCTTGAAATGCATAATTACCTTTAGAAGTGCTTTCTTAATAGAGGAAGAAAAGTGAGAAAGGGGATGTAATTTCTGCCTCCCTCCCCACCAATATCAAAGTGCTTTTAAGCCCTGGTTTTCTAAATCCAGTCTTTCATTTACAATCCAGAAAAAAGCTAGAGCACACACACACATCTGATTTTTAGCATTTATACATCTACTTTCTTGATTTTAGAGGCACAATCGGTGTTAGATGTCTAAATACTATATAATATGCTTATAATTTCTTAGGAAAACTCTTGGCAACTATAACACTACAGAGAGGAAGTCTCTTTCTGCCTGTCAGGATACTGATGTCTGAATATACTTCCTTATTTTGCAATCTCTCTTGCTCCTGCTGCATTTTCTAAGTCTGCTTCTTTTTATTCTTGTTTGTTTTACAATGAGCTCCTGCTGAAAATCTTTTACTTTATGTTGCTACATCTCAGCAGTCTTCCTCATCTTCTCTACCCAAACTTCATAGCAAATTGAAAAATTGTTTTGTCTAGGGACAGATTATCTGCAAATTAATGTGCACATAAGATATTTTAAGACATTAGGATACAGCCTTTAATTTTATGTCTTTTGCACACAAGGATTTTCCTCTCTTACAAGACAGAATAAAACCAACTTGTAACAAATTGAGATGACACTGATAAAAGAAAATCTGTAATCAATTTTTCTGGCAGCTTGATTCAAGAAAACTTCTAATCCAGTATGTGTTCCCTGAAGCTATAATTCCATCTAGACTGCTCCAGAGCCCTAAAAAAAATTTATGAAGTACAGAAGCCACAAGCCCAAATGTTATCCTAAAGAATATCTCACTTCATACCATTGACTGTGTGACTTCAAATTTATCAGCCTTTCTTCTACCAATAACAGATGCTGTAGAACTGAATTATAAATATCACAACAGAAAGGAACACATTTTCTTAATAAATAATGCAGACACTTCTCATCCTTCCAGAATCACTAGTTATCACTACCTAAACCACTTATGAAAAATAATGAAATATACATAAAGCCAGGTGATTTGTACTAATTGTCTTTCATCAGAGAAAATCCAGGCATATTCAAGAAGGGGAAATTCTGCTGATAAGATGCTATCCAGACTAGGAATTTTTTTCAGTTAATTTGTCGATGGTCAAACCAGATTCCAGACTTGACATCTGATGAGAAATGTGTTATCTGACCCATTTCCAATTCTGTTGCAGCTATTGCCAAAACCAGTTTAACAAAGAAGGCAAAGAAGACAGCTGTGTCCAACTCTCCTTCAAGCTTGACTAACCAACTCACCCCCTGAATCCCGCAAGAGAAACTGGAAAACAGGCTCCCTACTTGTTTCTCTGTAAACAGAAATCCCTTCATCTGCCCTCTTATTTTTTTTTAATCATTGGCTGCACTCTGTTTTCTATCATGCCTCTTGTCCTTTCATTTAAGATGAGACCAGTGCTGAGAACTCAATTATACCATTGTGCTGAAGAAGCTACTTTCCCACAGCTAAACAGTTAAAAACAGTACCAAGGGCTCTTTCATTCCTATTTTTCACCAACTACACTTTGGGGAAAGTGTTTTCTGAGTCCTGCTGCCTCTAGAGAAGAGCATCCCATTCACAGCAATGGCACAGGTCTGAAAAGAACCCAATAGTAAGGTTGCTCTTGATCAATAACTATTCTTCTGTTTGAAGGAGGGGTTTTAACCTTTCTTTTTTAGATCCCTTGTATTTTCAGAGTGTTTTAGAGCCTTCAGAAGGCTGCTGACAACCCACCTGCATATTTTGGTAACCTTGTGCAGATTGCTTACAGGCAGGCTGTGGACTGTGAGTGGTTTGTGGACCACTGACATTTGAATTGCTGGAGCTGCTGTTTGAGAGTTTGTCACAGCTTGTGGTGGCAAGTGAGACGCTGCAGTCACAGATCTTGAGCTGACATCATCCCACGACCCAGCTGCCTTCAGCTAAAAATGCCACTGCACTTAATGGCTTTTGCATGCATCAGACCTGACTTCACAGCACCCGATGCAGTTACAACTTTGCAGTAAAGACAAACCCTCCTCTTCAATCTCGAATCACAGGCACATAATAACTCACAGTCTTCTAAAACAATAACCTCCCAACTGATACTTTAGATTTATTAGAGAATAATTCCAGTGCCTCCTGTACTTTGCCTGTGCTATTGAAATTTTAAATTATTAAATTTAAATTGTTAGATTTCCAAGTGTCTGTGACGCTCCTCCTAAAACGACATCAGGAATCTCACTCAATTATTTAACACAAGAAATACTCAGCAACATTTCCCCTCATAAGAATAATTATCTTCAGTAATTGCATATGCTCTCCACTATACTTGCACTGAGCCTGCATAATGTATAAACCATTGGTGATGGGTCATTTAATTTTACTATTAAATTCTTCGAGGTCTGATTTATTAGAAATTGTTTGTCTTTTGGAAAAGCCATTATTGCTAAGCAGACAATGATCTCTCACTGCCGAGTGCTGGGAACAATAAAATGATTTGCAAAATCCATATTCTTCAACCATTGCACTTATGCAAAACAGCTGCTGGAGCTGATAAAGGACCCAAAAAGGATAAAGTGTGATCAGTGCCAACATCAAAATTCCTCAAGAAAGTGTTAAGCTCAAGCAAGATGAAATGTGGAGAATAGAAACTGGCTATTTTACAACTGAACCCGAAGCTGAGCTCAACATATTTAACCTTTATTAAACCATAAGTTGTAGCAACAAATAGCAGTGGAAAGATAAAAATCTGTGATGCATGAGCTTGTATGAGTCATCCTTGGCTCTTACCCTGAAGAAGGGTATTCGTGTTTAACTTAGAGCACTCTAAGTAGTCCCACTGAGGTCAGTGGAAGTACTGGTAGTACTTAAAATTACACACATTTATATGGCACTGCAAAATTGGGGCCCAAGAGGTTGCGAGTTATACGGCTTTACATTCACTCCTTATAACATCATTCCATACCTGGAGTAACGTGGAGCAATAAACTGAGACACACCTGACAGAGCACAGGCTGCTCTGATTGACCGACACTTCTGGCACACGATGTGGAAACGAGTTTTGGCACTTACAGCACACTAATTGGCAATAGTGCACCTAGATGGATCCAAATGGATTGCCCCAGCACGGAGCACACCTTCCTGCTTGCAGCGTGATGTCTTGCAGAAATACCATTTGCAAGGCCCCTCTGACCCTCTGTCAAACCAGGGAGAAGCATTTGGCAGAGCCCTGCACATAATCACTCCTGGGAAGTTTATGAAAATAGACAGCATGGTCTTGACAAAAGCCATTCCGGGTGCTCCCAGTGCAGGAGAGGGCACAGGGAGGGGTGACCCTCTGCTGGCGCCAGCCAAGGCTCTGCAGGGGAGCAGCAGCACCCACAGCCCAAAATCCAACCTAAGGAGCGAATCCACACGAGACCAGGGCCAGCCTCGCACTTGATGGGATGCGGTGTTTCCCCGTGTGTGTCCCTTGGCTGCCTGACCCCTGTCACGGGGGTGACTCGCCGTGGACACGGCACTGGCTGTGCACCAAAATAGGCTTTTTTGCTCCATCAGCTAAAAACGATCGGGCACCGAGTCCTACAGAACAGAAACCCCGTCCCTGCAGTCCAGCCCTGCATGCTCCAAGTTCACTTGTGGAAAATCCCTGCTCCTGCTGGGCTGCTGGAGGCAGCGGGACACCCACCCAGGCTGCGGCCGTGGGCACCGGGACACACAGGCGTGACGTCACACACACTGACGTCACAGACTGACGTCACCGGGGCACGACGTCACGCCAGAAACACGGAATATCCTGAGCTGGAAGGGACCCTCAAGGACCATCGAGCCCGTCCCTTAGCCCTGCACAGGACACCCAAACAACACCCTGTGTTGTCCAAACGCTCCCTGAGCTCTGCCAGATGGCAGAGTGGCCGTGAGCACTGCCCTGGGGAGCCAGTTCAGTGCCCGACCACCCCCTGGGGGAAGAACCTGTTTCCAGTATCCGCCTAAACCTTCCCTGACACAACTTCAGCCCATTATTGGGGTCTTGTCAGAGATCGGTGCTGCCCCTCCTCGTCCCCTCACAAGGAAGTTGTAACTGCCATGAGGTCTCCCCTCAGCCTCCTCTTCTCCAGGCTGAACTCACCAAGTGCCCTCAGCCGCTCCTCTTGTGCCTTCCCCTCAAGGCCCTTCACCACCTTCGTTACTCTCCAAACACGCCCCTATTCCCACCCCGCGCTCCATTTCCACGCCAAAACAGCGCGGCGGGACCCGGGCCCGCCACCTCCCCGCCCCCGCCGCGGCCCGGGGAGCCCCGGCGGCCCCGCCGCTCTCACCGGGACGAGGTGCCGGGCCCGGCCCGTCCCGCAGCTCCGCCGGCCCCGCCGACCGGACGCGCTTCCCCCGCGCCGGAGCCGCTTCCGGGGCAGCGCCGGGGCCGCTCCGCGCCGGCCTCGCTGGTCACGGTCCGCCCGGAGCCGCCGAGGGTGAGAGGGCGGCACGGGGCGATCGAGGGGCTCTCCGTGCGCCCCCACGGGCCGGGAATTTGCGGGCGTTTGCGGCCCCCCTGTGGGGCCGGCGGTACCATGGGGGGCTGGAGGCATCTGGGGCAAGAGTCCCACGGGGGGACATGGGGGAACCTGGGGGTGACACGTGGGTCAGCCCCGTATGGGGGTCATGGGGCTTTGGGGGTGTCCCGGGGAAGCGGAGGCACAGGGAGACCCCCAGAGATGAGACAGGGGGCGCAGGGGCTGCCCCGGGTGGGGTGACGCCGGTGCCGTGGAACCCGGGCCCGGGGGTGCGGGGGTCGCAGCGGGACCCCGGTGACCGCTGTGGAGGGTCCTGAACCCCCCCCTGGGTGGGGGTCCGCAGCCCGCACCCGGAGCCGCCCTTCCCGCAGGGCTGTCCCTGCCCTTCGCTTGGAGCCATCGCACTCCGTGTGCCCGGGCTGATTCAGGGGGTGGGTGACAGCCGGTGTGGTACCGGGGGGCTCGGGGGGGCTCGGCCGGGCCCTGCCTGCGGGTCTCCTCCTCCGGAGCTGGTGAGGTGCTGCCGGAGAAGGCCGGAGGAGGGACAGGTCGGCCCGGGAGCAGCGTGGCAGCCCCGCTGTCGTGGGCTGCCCATCCCCGATGTGCGATGTCAGGGTGGCACCTGGAGCACATTTCAGGTTCTGGGGGCGTTAATGCCCTGGCAAAACTCAGCCCCAGATACAGAAGTGACCCAGTCACTGCCTCCTTACATACTCAGCTCTCTGACAGCTGTCTCCATTTGTATCCTACACTCCTCAAAGCAGCCGTCCCAAGCAGTTTGTTTTCGCTTTTATTTTGGTGAAGCAAGTCATGGATTTACATTATCTGAGGACCTTTTGTACCTTCATTTGTTTTTCAGAGTTAGCAACCTGTTTTTTTTCCTGCAGAGAGGGTGTGTCAGTTAGATAAAGCCACGTGTTCATGTGGGACTTTAAACTTCCAAGTATGACATTTCATATATCCAGATGTAATTTGGTGTATACACTTGCCTAAAAACATAATCTGTGCATGTGGGTATGTGTAGCAACATTGTTGTGTTTAATTATTTAAAACACAAATTTTATGCTGTTGAACTAGTGTCAGAGTGTACAAGGGAGTAATTTTTTAATCTGCTTTGCTTCCTATGGGTGTTCTTAGTCATGTCTGAGAAAGGCAGTGGTGAAAATCTGAAAGAAGAAACCTCTCATGAGGAAGAAAATGAACAGAAAGCAGAGGAACTTGCCTGCTCTGAAAGCAATGAAGAGAGAGAGAAAGAGCTTGAGACTGTGCCTGTGACTCGTAAAAGACCTGAGCCCAAGCCTCCAAGCAAGCCTGCTGCCACAGAAAAGCCCACAGCTGAAACCACCAAGGTATGTTCCTGTGCTTGCTCAGAATAATGTGACTTCACATTTTATGTCCTTGAGCACGGGAGAATTCTGAGCATAAGCCCCACTCCTCTCTGAAAATTCATATTTGCTGTTTCTCTGAAAAGAAGAAGCTGCACAAAAGTCACACGTCATAGACTGCTTTTGCTCCTCTCCTCACCATGATACCTGCATCACTCTTCTGTTTTTTCTTCATTAAAGGTCTCAGATTCTCCTGCAGTTCAGACAGGGTGGGGCTACTGGGGAAGCTGGGGGAAATCTCTCCTGTCAACTGCATCTGCTACTGTAGCTACTGTAGGTAAGGCTCTTGCTGGTGTTTGATAAATATTTTAATCATGTTTTGTGTCTCAAGCTAGTGCTTTAGAGCTTGTTTCCAGAGAAGGGGATTTCAGTTATAGCAGCCATTATTGGAAAAATGTCAGGAGAATTGTTCGAGTAATAGGGAAGGCTTGTACCAAAAGGTACAGTGAGATTAAGGAGATATTCACAGCCAAAATTACTTTCAAGTTTTTAAGGCGTTTGTGTAATTTTCACCTGGTATTTTAAACTGGTGTTCAGCCAGTATTTACAACCTGATTTAAAAGCCGAGATAAAACCTTGGTTCATTACATTGGTAGGCAAGCTGGATAGGAGGAGGTTTTAGTGCTGAGTAACCTGTTTTGAACAGGAGGAATCCAGAATAATAAAAAAGAATATGCAGCTCTAATCCTGTTTCTGTTCTGATTTCTGTCTTCTCTAGGTCAAGGTATTTCAAATGTCATAGAAAAAGCAGAAACAACCCTTGGGATCCCCAGTCCTAGTGAAATCTCTTCAGAGTCTGGAGATACTACAAGAGGTCAGTTTTTACTGCATAAGAACAACTCTGAAATATTTTTCGTAACAGATTCAGCCCCCAAATAACACCACCTTACTTTGCACCTTGCATATTGAGATCAATAATAAGTTAAAATAATAATTTATTGCTTAGTTGTGTTACCTCTGAAAAGTAGTTAGGAAAATAATCCTAATTGTAGACCTGCTCCTGGCTGACAGTTTGTGTCTGTTGATTTTCCCCACTCTGCAGCTGACAGGATCTTTTTTTGGAAGTGAGGAAGCTAATTTTCTGCCTTCTAATGCAGGAAGTGAGAATCCTGGTGCAGCTGATGATGGCAGCTCCTTTCCTATTGCTGGGGCTCTTGAAGTGTTATCAACCATCTCTACTGCTGTCCAAAGCACAGTAAGTGAGTTGGGAATGTGGGAGGAAGTGGGTTTAAGAGAGCTTTGGGGTTTTGACCTTTCATCTGAACTATTGTGAGGGGAAACTAATTTTGACATTTGTGGAATGAATGGTGAGAAACTGTTCCAACCTTCAGACAACCTTTATCCTGCACCTTGCTTCTAATTGGCACCTATGTTGAATTTTGATAGTTCTGTATTAAATGTCGATACATAACAACAAAAACTAACAGTGGACTGTGCAGAGCTGCATTTCCATGCATTTCACCTCTGGACTCTGTCATCTCTGCTCCCTTCCTTTAGAGTATTCAGGTAAATGCAGGGTCAGACTCATTCCTGGAATAGTTCCACTGATTTCCAGAGAACTGTCTAGAGATGAAATCCATTCTCCTCTTCAGAAACCTCTGTGAAACTAGCTCAATTTGCTTGGAAATCAGCTTGCTCCTGTGACCATGAGAAATGTACTTCAAAGGAAGCCATTACCCTTAGAAACTGCTTTTGTGATCTGCTGTCTTGTCAATTTGCCCGTGAATCTGAAAGAGCTGCAGATGGAAAGCTTGCTTCTTCTTTTAAGGCTTGAACAAAAGTTAGCAACCAAAATCCACAGGTCTAGTGTTTTCTCACTGGAAGGATGAGAACTAAATAATTTAATGTGCCGAGAACCAGCTTGTTCACAAACAAAAAATGTATTTCCCACCAGATTGCTGCAGCTGTCTGGGTGCTGCAATAAACTGTTGGATGATAATACGTTGTGGCTCCTTCTATGTCCTTCTGCTCTCTTTGTGATTATTAGGGTTGAATTTTAGGGTGACAAGGACCCATTTGGCTTTTATGTGAGTGTCCAGCATCACATTGTTGATATTAATCCCCCAGTTCATTTTTTTCCCCTGTGTAGTCTTCTGCAAGTTTTACCTGCTGTCTTTATCCGAATCTGATTCCTAGGGAAAAACTGTTATTAGTGGAGGTCTGGATGCCTTGGAATTCATTGGGAAAAAGACAATGGATGTAATAGCTGAGGGAGACCCTGGATTCAAAAAAACAAAGGGCCTAATAAACAGAACCTCTACGTTATCTCAGGTATGGCAGTTCCCCATCAGCACCTCGTTGGTTTCTCTCATTTCTTCCCCCTTCTTTTGCGGTCCTGTCATTAAGCAACCATTTCAACTACTGAACTAAAAGCCTTTTCCTCCTGTATTCTGTATCTTCTGGCACTGTCACGAGGCCTCTGCTTTTCTTTTTCAGGTCTTACGAGAGGCAAAGGAGAAAGAAGAGCAGCAGACAGCTACCGAGGTTACCATGGCTACAGAGAAGAAAGCCCATTATGGGTTACTGTTTGATGAGTTTCAGGGTCTTTCGCATCTGGAGGCCTTAGAGATGCTTTCCAGAGAGAGTGAATCAAAGGTAATGGCCTTGAGCATTTTGCTTTCTATTTTGAGCTCAGCTGAGCAGGCAAAAAAAAAAAAAAAGATTAGAAGTATATGTATATACATGTAAAATCAAGTGCTCAGAACTTGCTGTAAAATGGTGATTACACACCTTCACTTGGACCTCTGCATTAGTATCTGATGTTTACCTTGGGAGCAGTTTGTCCTGTCCTCAGCTCCTAATGCAATTCCCTTTACCCAGCCAGCCTCAGGTCCTGCATGTCTTCAATAACTTTTCATGAGTTACTCTCCTCACACCCACTTGTTTGCTGCCTTGGTCTGGAGAAGAGGAGAGTGTTGTAAGCACGGCAGAGATTGTCCTCTCTGTCTTGAGGCAAGGAGGAGGGCAGATGAGCATGCAATTTCAGAAGTCATTCACTTTTTTTTTTATGAAAGAAATTTGAGTAACTCCTTAAGAATCCATTATTACCTATCAGGGCTTCACAAATAGGTCTTTTTCCCTTTCTGCCTTCCTGTAGGAACGTACCCTTTTCTCATTTCCATCAATCTGTCATGCTTTTACAGGCAGTGTAAACTAGTGCTGCATTTTCTGTCCTACTGGATGGATTTATGATTCTCTTTGGCTGTGCTGCCCCTAATTAGGTGAAATCGGTTCTAAATGCCCTCTCTGGAGAGGAGTTGGACACACTGAAGGAGGAAATGGAACAACTGAAAGAAGCATTTTCTTTACCTGAATTCTTTGAAGAAGAAGAGGAAGAAAAGAAGGGTAAGAGAGTCCCAGGTTCTGGGAGGAGAAGCTGGTTCTCACTGAAATTCTCAGTGCAGAGCCAACCAGCCCTGATCACTAGCAGTGGGCATGATGCCAAAGTTAAGTTATTCTTTAGCTGGATGCTTAATCCTAAAGCCATCTGTG